AATGAATGGAATGAATGGAATGAATGGAATGAATGGGATGAATGGGATGAATGGGATGAATGGGATAAATGGGATGAATGGGATGAATGGGATGAATGGGATGAATGGGATGAATGGGATGAATGGAATGAATGGAATGAATGGAATGAATGGAATGAATGGAATGAATGGAATGAATGGAATGAATGCAATCAATAAAATGAATGGAATGAATGGAATGAATGGAATGAATGGAATGAATGGGATGAATGGGATGAATGGGATGAATGGAATGAATGGAATGAATGGGATGAATGGGACGAATGGGATGAATGGGATGAATGGGATGAATGGGATGAATGGGATGAATGGGATGAATGGAATGAATGGAATGAATGCAATGAATGCAATCAATAAAATGAATGGAATGAATGGAATGAATGGAATGAATGGAATGCATGGGATGAATGGAATGAATGCAATCAATAAAATGAATGGAATGAATGGAATGCCTGAAATGAATGGAATGAATGAATGGGATGAATGGGATGAATGGGATGAATGGGATGAATGGGATGAATGGAATGAATGGAATGAATGGAATGAATGGAATGAATGGAATGAATGGAATGAATGGAATGAATGCAATCAATAAAATGAATGGAATGAATGGAATGAATGGAATGAATGGAATGAATGGGATGAATGGGATGAATGGGATGAATGGAATGAATGGAATGAATGGGATGAATGGGACGAATGGGATGAATGGGATGAATGGGATGAATGGGATGAATGGGATGAATGGGATGAATGGAATGAATGGAATGAATGCAATGAATGCAATCAATAAAATGAATGGAATGAATGGAATGAATGGAATGAATGGAATGCATGGGATGAATGGAATGAATGCAATCAATAAAATGAATGGAATGAATGGAATGCCTGAAATGAATGGAATGAATGAATGGGATGAATGGGATGAATGGGATGAATGGGATGAATGGGATGAATGGAATGAATGGAATGAATGGAATGAATGGAATGAATGGAATGAATGGAATGAATGGAATGAATGGAATGAATGGAATGAATGGAATGAATGGAATGAATGGAATGAATGGAATGAATGGAATGAATGGAATGAATGGAATGAATGGAATGAATGGAATGAATGGAATGAATGGGAATGGAATGAATGAATGGGAATGGGATGAATGGGATGAATGGGATGAATGGAATGAATGGAATGAATGGGAATGCGAATGGGATGAATGGAATGAATGGAATGAATGGAATGAATGGAATGAATGAATGAATGAATGGAATGAATGGAATGAATGGAATGAATGGAATGAATGGAATGAATGGAATGAATGAATGGGATGAATGCGATGAATGGAATGAATGGGATGAATGGGATGAATGCGATGAATGGGATGAATGGAATGAATGGAATGAATGGAATGAATGGAATGAATGCAATCAATGGAATGAATGGAATGAATGGAATGAATGGAATGAATGGAATGAATGAATGGGATGAATGTGATGAATGGAATGAATGGGATGCATGGGATGAATGGGATGAATGGGATGAATGGGATGAATGGAATGAATAGAATGAATGGAATGAATGGAATGAATGGAATGAATGCAATCAATAAAATGAATGGAATGAATGGAATGAATGGAATAAATGGAATGAATGGGATGAATGGGATGAATGGGATGAATGGGATGAATGGAATGAATGGAATGAATGGAATGAATGGGACGAATGGGATGAATGGGATGAATGGGATGAATGGGATGAATGGGATGAATGGGATGAATGGGATGAATGGGATGAATGGGATGAATGGAATGAATGGGATGAATTGGATGAATTGGATGAATGGAATGAATGGCTGTCTCAACATACCTTGCGTAGATTCTATCCACTGCCGTCCACCTGCCAAAGCGAATGGCGAATCACATGATGCACAAAGCGGGGTCTTGCGAAACTAGCCAAATGGCTGTCTCAACATACCTTGTGTGGATTCTGCCAGAGCGGATGCCGAACCTGAACAGCCTGAAAGCAGTGAAAAGCAGTCGTCCCAACTCCATGCCAAGCCAGCTTCATGCACCGCAAGAAGACTAGCGAGTCAACTCCCTCACCCATTCAACTGGCTACGTCACTGTTCTTCCGATAAATGATTTGCCCAGAGGCACACATCCTTGCTTGAGCTGGATGCAAGCATAGGCAGCGTAGCTTAAATGCACGGCTGAATCATTGAACTCCAATTGGATGCGTTGTGTCTGAAAACCGTTGGCTCTGCCTTGTGGAATTGAACGTACGATGAGAATCACGAAAAACTGCGGATGACCGGATCCGCATTTGAAGGACCTGTCCAAACGGTTGGATTGCTTTTGTCGCCTGACGTATCCAAAACATCGCAAATTTGACCTGCAAATCTGTGCTGGGACTCCATCACCATATTGGAAACCAAATGGAATCGCAGGACTTGAACAACAGTGTGACCGGAGAGCGAAATTCAGGCACCGGCAACGCCAAATAGATGGAGTCATCCCTGTCAAAGAACACCTAAAGCATCTCTCCTGTCAAAAGGCGCCGCCGCTCAAAAGGAGCTGTACAAATTACGTCAAAATCTACTGCAATGACACTTCCAAACGCCTGACTGCCTAAGCTCCCACGTCGCTAAACCCTCTTCAGCTGCAGGCTGAGAACTTGAGACTAAATTGATCAAAGGCAGAGGCACTTGTTTCTCCGAAGTGAACGCCAAGGAGAACCCCAATTCTCTGCTCCATCCGTGCGCTCTAGAAGCAATGGCCTGCTCTTGCCCCCAAACTCACCAAGACATTCTTCGACCACTGACCAGCAATTTCCGCATTAGTCACTAGTCCCACATTGTAGGCAGCAGGCAAGGCAAGTCAACTGACGCATGACTGCCCATGAAAATCAACACTCGCCAATGCATGCTTGCCATCGTTGCCGTGCTCCAAGTCGCACCTGTTCGCACGCGTTGTTCCTTCAGTTTTGCAGCGAAAAATGCCCGGGAAAAGATGCACTATGATGCACTGCATTTTCAGCTGAAAAATCAACCCCAGGCCTCAATCTGCTGCTCGTGGTGGCAGCCGAGATACCCAGGCAGACCCCGAGCACCCGATAACTAGAGAACACTCCAACAAGGGCACATGGAAATGATGCCCGGCCTCACCGATCCGGAACTCGTGCATTTTCGACGGTGAAGTTGCTGCACTCTTGCCGCGACGAAGCACGAATGATAATCGGGCATTCGCTTGACCTAGTCGACGTTGCATCCGCTTCAGGACCATTCGCAAGTGGCGCCAACCATTTTGCCATAGTTCTTAAGATAGGCTTCTTGCCGCTCTGCACCGCGTTGCTCTCCTTCTCGCCAGTCACCCTTTTCTTCTTCGGTTTCCGGTGGTTACAGGGCAAGCGCCTGGGCTCCTTCTCGAAATGCCTGAAACAGTTGGACTGATGTCGGGAGTCTTCGGACAGTGAAAACACACCTCCCTGCGCCTGTGCGGGGTAGAGTCCAATATCAGCACGCAACGGCAAATGGAGCCCATCTCGAATTGCAAAGGCATCATCGAGCATTCCAAGCTGCCTGAAGCGAACAGCCGGACAGGACGCCTCAGGTTATGCACCATTTGATCCAAACGACTTTCAAGGATTGAAAGCACATGATTCAAGCAAAATAAGGCTCGCAAAGCATTGAAGAAAGCTAAAGTTGCGGAATGATGCCTGAAACTCGTTGCTGACCCTTGTGCAAAATGGGTCGAGCCAAACGACCAAGATATGCAGTTGCAATGTCAAATGTTGAGTGCCTGCACAATGAGTTTACCCCGCAAGCACCTGATGCAAGTGATGTTTCAAGGGTGAATCGCGCAAAGTTAAACCAGCAGAATTGGACCCCAAGCAGCCAGAATGTGCTCGCAAGTTACTGTAAACCACCAAACCTTACGTGAATTCTCAGCAAGCTTTGTGGTTTGCTCAAATAAACGCATTCAGAACACGGAAACCGGGGCGCCGTTGCAAGTAGACGCCGCAAACCCTTCAGTCACACCTTTGTTTCGCCACAATATACAACAGTGTTTTCCCAGCAACAATGCAGCAGCCACTACGCAGACAAGCAGGGCGAAAGAGCATCAGACACTTCTACTGCCAAATGTAAAACGGTGTATTCTGGCAACAAGCAGCAGCCACACAAATGCCAAGAGCTTCAAGCAACACTACCTCCAAAATGTACAGCACTAACAAAGCAGCAGCTGCACAGCTGCATGAAAAATATACCACCTAAACATACAACAGTGCTTCCCGTCAACAAGCTGCAGCCACACACAGAACAAGCAGGGCAAATGAGCAATTCTACCTCCAAACTACACATAGTAGCTTCAGAAAGCGTACCAAGAGCCTGTCCCAAGAGGAACGAATGAGCATCAGGCAATTCTGCCACAAAGAAACACAACAGTATTTCATTTTCCGGCAACATCCACAGCACAGCATGCCGAAGGCCTGCCACTGCAAAACATAACGTTTTGTTTTGTGCAAAACAAGCAGGGACAAAAAAACATCTGAAGAAAAAAATACTTCGCTTCGAGCAATCCCCACCCTCCACACGCACGAGCTGGCGACCGTGAACACGGCTGTGTGAATTCAAGCGTGGTTTTCGACTCGGCAGGATACTCGGCGGGATCCACTGGAGCCGCTCTGGCGGGATACTGGGCGGGGGCGTGGTGTAGAAGCATCGCAAACGCGGATTCCAACATAAAATCTAACAACCCCTTCCCGTCGGGTGGGGAAAAAAAGGTCGTGCGCGACGCAGCCCGCAATAGCGAAGGCATCGCTGGCGCACCCTGCGCGCATGCTGCAAAGCGAAACCATGCAAAACCACGAAGGCATCAATCGAACGAAAAGCGGCTCCGCCACTCAAAACCGCATCGTGCAGCCAACCATTGCAAAGTCGTAGCGTTTCACGCCATTTGAATCACAGCTGCATCACCCTCCTGCAGACCCTGCAACAGCACCCTGCACACCTTCGAGCCTCGGCCTGCAGCAGCATCCTGCTGCGGCACCCTGCAGCAGCAACCCAACTCTGGCTCCTGCAGCAGCCGCCTGCTTCAGCACCCCGCAGCACATTGTGTCTTTCGTGCGCCTCTTGCTGCTGCATGAGTGCATGAGTCGACTGATTGAAAGCGGGGCTGAGCGCGCGCCGAGCCCTAAACTCAAGCGCTAGGACAATCAAGCGGCACCGCCGCAAGTGCAACAACTCAGGTTAAGCTGACCGAGCCGGGCTTCGGCCAGCGTCTCCCTGATAGCAGACGGTGCGCCGCGGCGGCCCCAGAAGCTGAGCGGCGCCCCGTTCCACAGGGGCAGGCCGATGGCTACGACTTCGAGCCAACGATTGTCGAAGATTCAGATCGGGGCACGTTGGCGGTGACCAGCGAGCTGCTCTGCACACCTGGTCCGCAGCCCTGCGCAGTGAGAAACGGGGAGAGGAGAGGGCCCGGGTGATTACTTGGGCGCGTTAGGTGCGGCAGTGAGCTCGAGCAACGCAGAGGGGCGGGCAAAGGTCCAGTTTGTAGGTCGGACAGGGCACCCCTGCCAGATGCGTCTCTGCCACAAGCAGCCGAACACAGAGCAACCTTGCGGCCTGGGGAGATGTCAGTGGAATGCAACGAGCCGTTCTCCTGGCGAGAGTCTTGTGTGTGAGCAAGAAGGCCATTGCCTAAGAGCGGGTTCGAGCTCCAACTGCACCCGGTGCACTGGGCACACTGGTGGAAACATGCCCCGAACGTGCCCAGACGGCTTGGTCATACGCGGCCAGCAGGCAAGAGACAAGAGAAGGCGAGTTTGTGCCAGTTGCCTGCAGCGTCGCCCAGACCGAGGCCGCCAATTCGAGCTACATGGGGGACTGCGGCACGGTCACCCACACCCTCGCCCGGTCCTACGCACACCGCTTCAAGGACTCAGGGAATGGCATGCGGGCTCCGTGCCGTCGCAGTACGCAAGGCTCGCCCTGCTTTCTTCGCGAGGTGCACAAACGGCGGCGTAAGCGGGACAACGCATGGGACCGGAGCATTGGACAGCGCGGGACTGTGGGAGGGCGCCAGGTGCGTCGCCGCTGCGCACACCAACGGCGCGCAACTAAACGTAGGGAACGCACGCTGCCGGTCGCTGAGGATTCTTTCTGGTGCGACCACGATCGTTGGCGCCTGCAAGGTGCAACGGCGCGTAACGACTCAAACCGGTTTAGTTTGATTTCTGGCCTCGGTGCCCCCAGCTGCACTGGATGACGCAGGAGTGTCCTAACCCTGGACAGGCATGTAAGAAATCTCAACCTTTTCCCGAATGCGTAGCGAAGGGTTCCCGTTTATAAGTGGGGGTGTGGGGGTGGAGGCCGTGTTCGCGAGGAGTTGCAACCGTCTGCAACCGTCCGTCCGCAACCGTCCGCAACCGTCCGCAACCGCCCGCGGTGAGGCGATAAGCGATTCGTCGTGGAAGCGTGTTTTGATGCATCGGCAAGGTGCGCATTTTGAGCATGCGAAGTGAACCCCCTGCGCACATCGGTTGGGTCAAATCGCTCTCGCTGTGGCGCGGTGCACATTTTGAGCGCGCAAAGTGAACTCTCTGCGCGCTTTAGGTGGGTCGAATCGCTCTCGCTGTGGCGCGGTGCGCGTTTGGAGACAGAAGTGTCGTTCAGAAGTGCCGATCACAAGTGTCCATTAGAAGTGTCGTTCAGAAGTGTCGATTTAGTGTCGTTCAGAAGTGCCGACCAAAAGTGTCGGTCCGGAGCGTCGCTCATCGGAAGTGTCGACAGAAGTGTTGCTCGGAAGTGTCGATCAGAAGTGTCGGTCAGAAGTGTCGAACAGAAGTGTTGCTGAGAAGTGTTGCTCAGACGTGTCCCTCAGAAATGTTGTCAGAAGTGTGGATCAGAAGTGTTGCTCAGAGCTAGAACTGTTGATCAGATCAGAAGGGTGGATCAGACGTGTTGCTCAGAAATGTCGATGAGAAGCGTGGATCAGAAGTGTTGCTCATCAGTGTCAATCAGGGGTGGTTCAGCAGTGTTGCTCAAACTGTCGATCAGAAGTGTCGAGCGCAGGTGCGGATCAAAAGTGTTGCTCAGAAGTGTCGATCAGAAGCGACGATCAGAAGCGTTGCTCAGAAAAGTCGATCAAAAAAAGTGTCGCTCAAAGTGTTGCTCAGAAGTGTTGATCAGGAGTGTCGCTCAGAAGCGTCAATTCAGCAGTGTTGCTCAGAAGTGTCGTTCGGAAGTGGATCAGAAGTGTTGGGAAGAAGTGTTTCTCAGAACTGTCGATGAGAAGTGTGGGTCAGAAGGGTTGCTCATCAGTGTCAATCAGAAGTGTGGTTCAGCAGTGTTGCTCAAACTGTCGATCAGAAGGATCAAAAGTGTTGCTCAAAAGTGTCGATCAGGAGTGTAAGTCGATCAGAAAAAGTGTCGCTCAGAAAAAGTGTGGTTCAGAAGTGTTGGTCAGGTGTCGCTCAAACGTGTCGCTCAGAAGTGTCAATCAGAAGTATTACTCAAAAAGGTCGATCAGAAAAAGTCTCTGTCAGAAGTGTTGCTCAGAAGCGTCGATCAGAAAAATTGTGGTTCAGAAGTGTTGATCAGGTGTCGCTCAAAAAGTTCGCTCAGAAGTGTCAACTGTTGCTCAGAAGTGTTGATGAGAAGGGTTCCTCAAAAGTGTCGTTCAGAAGTGTTGATCAGAAGTGTTGCTCAGAAGTGTCGCTCAGAAGTGTCAGTTCATTAGTGTTGCTCAAAAGTGTCGTTCAGAAGTGTTGATGAGCAGTGTGGATCAGAAGTGTTGGTCAGAAGCGTTGCTCAGAACTGTCGATGAGAAATTTGGATCAGAAGCGCTGCTCATCAGTGTCAATCAGAAGTGTGGTTCAGCAGTGTTGCTCAAACTGTCGATCAGAAGTGTCGAGCACAAGTGCGGATCAAAAGTGTTGCTCAAAAGTGTTGCTCAGAAGTGTCGATCAGAAGTGTTGCTCAGAAAAATCGATCTCGCTGTTCAGAAGTGTTGATCAGAAAAAGTGTGGTTCAGACGTGTTGCTCAGAAGTGTCGCTCAAAAGTGTCGCTCAGAAGCGTCAATCAGAAGTGTGGGTCAGAAGTGTTGCTCACTCAGAAGTGTTGATCAGAAGTGTCAATTCAGCAAGCAGTGTCGTTCAGAAGTGTCGATGAGCAGTGGGATCAGAACTGTTGGTCAGAAGTGTTGCTCAAAACTGTCGAGGAGAAGTGTGGATCAGAGGTGTTGCTCATCAGTGTCAATCAGAAGTGTGGTTCAGCAGTGTTGCTCAAACTGTCGATCAGAAGTGTCAATCAAAAGTGCGGATCAAAAGTCTTGCTCAAAAGTGTCGATCAGAAAAAGTGTCGCTCAGAAGTGTTGCTCAGAAGTGTTGATCAGGTGTCGCTCAAAAGTGTCGCTCAGAAGTGTCATTCAGAAGTTGTGCTCAGACGTGTCGCTCAGAAGTCTAGTACGCGCTGGAAAATCGCAACTTTGTAGTGAGTGCGCGAAGTACAGGTTTCGAGCTCTAGCCGGAAAATCGCAACTTTGTAGCACAAGTGTAGCGCGCGAAGTACAGGCTTCTGGAAAATCACAACTTTGAAGTGCAAGTCTAGTACACGAAGCACGGGTTTCCAGCTCCAGCTGGAAAATCGCAACTTTGTAGTGCCAGTCTAACGTGCGAAGTACAGGTTTGTGACTCTAGCTGGAAAATCGCGTCTTTGTAGTACAAGTCTAGTACGCGAAGTACAGGGTTCTAGCGCGACTTTGTAGTGCAAGTCTAGTACGCGAAGTACAGGGTTCTAGCTCTCGCTGGAAAATCGCGACTTTGTAGTACAAGTCCAGTACGCGAAGCACAGTTTCCAGCTCCAGCTGTAAATTGCGACTTTGTAGTACAAGTCTAGTACGCAAAGTACAGGTTTCCAGCTCTAGCTCGAAAATAGCAACTTTGTAGTACCAGCTCTCTAGCTGGAGAATCGCAACTTCAAGTCTAGTGCGCGAAGTGTGCAGGTTTCCAGCATGCTGGGAATGACGGAGCCGTGGAAGTATGAACGCAAAATGTCTGGGAGAGTCGCGGCCTCTTGCAAGTGGTTGCTTCTGCAGACAGCCAGCCAAGACAGTGCGTCATGGGTGCGCTCTGCCCGAACATGCTCATCGAGCCTTCGGCCGGAGCTGGGCGGAGCCGGGGCGATGAGCTGGGTGAGCGCAGGGCTGATGATGGCAGAGCGGCCTGTTGAGGCTGTGGATTTCAGATCTATTGACAGCGCCTTTCTTCTGAGATGCTTGCGGAAGCTCTTGCGGTCTTGGAATTATGAGCTGGAAGTCACCGGTGTGGAGCAAGAGCTTTACCTTTCAGCACCCTGGCTCCGGCTCAGCCCCTCTCAAGGCGCAGGAGCAAGGAGGTTGCGCCGTCTACTTGTGTCAACAGCGCCCAACTTGTGCTTTGCCCCTCTGCCATCGCCAGCCCTGCGCTCACCCAGCTCATCGGCGCGGTTGCGTTCAGCGGCGGCCGAAGGCTCAGGAGGGTTGCGCCATCTACTTTTGTGAACTGTCTTGCCCAAGCAGAAAACCAGCCATTTGTCTACTGCGGGAATCGATCAGAATTCCCGCATTGTTGGGGAATTCCTGCTGCTCCTCCGTGTGCCCTTCTGAAGCACTCCAGTGGGTCTTCTGAACACTGGCGGGCAGCGCAAGTTCCAAGGCACAAGCAACGAGGTTGAAGCTGGCATCCAAGTCATCCACCATGATTCCCACAGGACGTGACCCACTTCGTTGACCCAACCTCAACACCACAAGCAACATCAGTAGACGTGTGTAGGTGTCTTCAGCATGTGTGAACAAGGGGGGGAGTAGCGGGATGTTGCCCAGCCCTGTGCAGCAGCCCCATCTCCGTGCGGCTTGTTGCTTGGACACCACAGCTGCCCTGGCCTGAGCGCGTGCCGCCCTCAGCTTGCTTTTGCGGCGTACTGGTTTGAGCGCCGGGTTCTTAACAGAAGCCTGCCCAGCGCGCCGCTGCTGGCCGCGGCCCCGCTTCTGAAGCTGCTTTCCTGAGGACTGCCCATCAGCAACGAACAAAGTGAAAGCAACATTTCTCTCAACACTTTTGCAACTTCCCCACCTGAACACGCAATTCCCGCAAGCTTGTACTGGATGGATAAGAACAAAACGCGGCCTATGTGCTGGGGCGAAGTTTCATCATGAAAGTGCGGCGCTTAAATACAGTCCGGGCACCGTCGCTGGACGAAAAGTCAAAGCAGCATATGGCGCCATGGGAAGCCACCACCTCCGCAGCCAAAGCCGCCACATCCTCCAAGCTCATCTGCGCTGACATGAAGCTCAGCAGCCAGTTCTTCAATGTGACCGCATCGGGCGTCTGCGAGCAATGCTGCAACAAATGCCGGTGGATCTCACCCTTGTCGCAGTGTGGCAAGCTGCTGGCGCCCGGGTGCTCCGCCAATGCCAAGAACACAGCGCTCCCTACTTGGCGACGCACGTGCCTTTCTAGCGCCACGTGCGACTCCGTTGCTAGAAGCTTTTGCCAGATTGGTGGCCAGAATGAGCTGTGCACAATCCAGTCGCCCATAACGTCTCCGACAAGTGTCGCGCCTGCAGACGATGCGCCGACAGGCAAGTTCCATCTAAAGCCCCCATGTGCCTTGCAGGAGTACGTCGCCGCTTCACACCGCCACATGCCAGTAGCTGTCAGGAATTTGAAGCCCCGCCGCTTTCCCCGGCAAAGGATGTGGCACACGCCGCCGTCCGCTTGCGGGCAGCTGGCTGGCATGACACGGTACGCCAAAGGCCGGCTGCACACATCTTGCAGCACTTGCGCAACTTTTTGGGACAGGGTGCAAGGTGCGCAAAAGACGTCCCAACTCACCAGCAGCTGGCCGGGCGTGGGGGCGGCTGGCACGCTTTGCCTAAAGCAGCGTGCTGACAGCGGAGAAGACACTGACCAGCTCGGCTGGGGAGCTGTGCCCGCTCAAGCTTGCCAGAAGGAATTGCTCGCCAGCAGCCGCCTGCTTCGCCACCAGCTGAAGGGTGTATCCGACATTCTCCTGCAACAGGGAACGGGCGGAAGCGCAAGGCCAAGACCTCGTTGTCCGAGCAAATGCTTTGAATTTGTAAAAAAGGACTTGTTCATGGCTGGATTTGGGACAAAGTCGCCCGCCCGCGCTGGACACTCTGCCATGCAGCATGCCCAGGGCATGGCGCGCGGAGGAGTTGTCAAATCCAAGGACTGCAGTCTCCGAGCCGCAGGCCTCTTGCTGGCAACCATTTCCGCCAGCACAGGGGCCAAGGGCGACTCCTCTGAACCGCGCGCCGCTGCCTCATCAGCTGCGGCGCCAGCGCCGGTCACTTGACGGGCTGCGACTGCCAAAGCTGCAGTAGCTCGCCGGCGCCGGACTTGGGCAGGCAAGCGTGGCTCGGCGGCCTTGCACTTGTGGTTCAAGAGCCTGGACAACTTCCCGTGGAAGAAACCGCACTCACGGCTAAAGCCGCCTGCGTCCCGTGTGACCTTGGCAGCCAGGGAGCGCAAGGCTGCAGTCAGCCGCGTTGCTGGCGTGCTGCTCTTCGTGCCGCCTGAGTGTGCGGGCCGCGTTGGGACCGGAGGGGCCTACTTGGAGCTTCCATCCAGCCTGCTGGCCAAAGCAGGTCTTGCTTGGCACTGAGCATGGCAGCGAGCCAGTGTAAGTGCATTCTCGCATGGTGTGGCTGCGAAAGACAGGCAACATCTGGCAACACGCGCTGCGAACATGTGGCAACAGCCCGGGGCCAGCTGGCAGCCAGAGACTGCTACACTATTCCTTGTCGTGGCAAAACAAGACAAACAACGCGTCAAAGAAACGCCGGAAGCGACACGGAAGGCGGACGACCGAAAAAAATGGGCCACGGCTAAGAAACGCGTGTGCTTAGCTTAGCGGAAACACTGCAAAAGGTAACCAAAGCGCGAAACCAAGCAGCAAAAATCACAGCGATTTGCTGCGCGTGTTCTCTCCTGCACCTTGCGCTGCGCGTGCTCTGCGTGCGCTCTCGTGCGTTTTGCTCTGCAAGCGCGCTCGACATGTGCTCTCGTGTCTCTTGCCCGGCACGCGCGCTGGTTTATGCTGATAGGAGCCATGAACCGGATTGCACATCCCTTGCCAGAAACGACATGCGTTCGCGCAGGGGAACACATCAAGGTAAGTTTCGGCTAATACGTTGGGGCAATGGAACGTGAAGGTGCTTGTTACAACTAACCTATCATACGAGCACCTACCAAAACCATCATGCCATGAATCAATCCCTCCGAAAATCCTGAAAGAGATGACTTTCGAGCTGGCCATTTTTCCTTCAGATTCCCTCCTTGCAATTCCTTGCTTCCATCCACTCATTCATCCATTTCATTCCTTCATTCATTCATAATTAAATTGATCTTTCATCCAATCATCCACCCACCCACCCATCCAACCATCCATCCATCCATTCATCCATGCATGCAGCCATCCATTTATTCATTCATGCATTCATTCATCCATACATCCATCCATTTAGAAATTCATTCATTCATTCATTCATTCATTGATTCATTCATTCATTCATTCATGCATTCATTCATTCATTTCACTTCATTTCATTTCATTTCATTTCATGTCATTTCATTTCATTTCATGTCATTCATTCATTCATTGATTCATTGATTCATTGATTCATTGATTCATTGATTCATTGATTCATTGATTCATTCATTCATTGATTCATTCATTCATTCATTCATTCATTCATTCATTCATTCATTCATTCATTCATTCATTCATTCATTCATTCGATCATTCGATCATTCGTTCATTCATTCATTCATTCATTCATTCATTCATTCATTCATTCATTCATTCATTCATGCATTCATTCATTCATTCATTCACTCATTCATGCATTCATTCATTTCATTCATTCATTCATTCATTCATTCAATCATTCATTCATTCATTCATTCATTCATTCATTCATTCATTCATTCATTCATTCATTCATTCATTAGTTCATTAGTTCATTAGTTCATTAGTTCATTAGTTCATTAGTTCATTAGTTCATTAGTTCATTCACTCATTCATGCATTCATGCGTTCATGCATTCACTTCATTTCATATACTTCACTTCACTTCATTCACTTTCGTTCTTTCTTTCGTTTTTTCTTTCTTTCTTTTTGTTTCTATTCATTCAGTCATTCATTCAGTCATTCATTCAGTCATTCATTCATTCATTCATTCATTCCATTCATTCATTCATTCATTCATTCATTCATTCATTCATTCATTCATTCATTCATTCATTCATTCATTCATTCATTCATTGATTCATTCATTCATTCATTCTTGCTTTCATTCATTTCAGTCATTCAGTCATTCACTCATTCATTCATTTCAGTTCAGTTCATTCAGTTCATTTTATTTCATTCATTCATTCATTCATTCATTCATTCATTCATTCATTCATTCATTCATTGATTCATTTGATTCATTCATTCATTCATTCATTCATTCATTCATTCATTCATTCATTCATTCATTCATTCATTCATTCATTCATTCATTCATTCATTCATTCATTCATTCATTCATTCATTCATTCATTCATTCATTCATTCATTCATTCATTCATTCATTCATTCATTCATTCATTCATTCATTCATTCATTCATTCATTCATTCATTCATTCATTCATTCATTCATTCATTCATTCATTTTCATTCATTCATTCATTCATTCATTCATTCATTCATTCATTCATTCATTCATTCATTCATTCATTCATTCATTCATTCATTCATTCATTCATTCATTCATTCATTCATTCATTCATTCATTCATTCATTCATTCATTCATTCATTCATTCATTCATTCATTCATTCATTCATTCATTCATTCATTCATTCATTCATTCATTCCAGTCATTGCACACTCATTCAAACGGCGAATGTCGAAAAAACGAGAAACCGGCGAAGACAGGAATCCGAGCAAAACGGCGCAAACGAGAAAACGGCGAAAACGGCGAAAACAGGAAAACGGCGAAAACGGGGAAACGGCGAAAACGGGGAAGTTAATGAATTGGATCAACTCCTTCATTCATTCGTTCATTTATTGAATCGATGAACGCCGCAAAAAACGAGAAAAAGCGAAAACATCGAAACTAAACTGCGGCAAGCCAGCTACAAAGGGAGAGAGGTGAAAGCGGCAAAAACTGGAAAACGGGAAAAACAGGAAAGCGAAAAAACGGCGAAAACGGCGAACACGGCGAAAACAAGAACCGGCGGTTTGCCCGTTTTCCCGTTTTCTCGTTTTTGATTTTTTTTCGGGCATCATCCGGCCGGCCCACGGCGCGCGATTGAAGTTACTAGATCCATTTTGCCCTGCCATTCAAGTGGACCAACAATGATACCACCCAAGGATACCAAGCTTCGCTACAAAATGCTCTGCCACGCGACTACACAATCGCAATGATTACTCGGCCCCTGCTGGCAGCACTCACCTCGTCTCTTCTGCCTTTTGAGCCGTACGTTGCTCGTTATGCTCGGAATCCGCATGGTGCCGGACACCCGGAATTCCCAGTGCGAGATTTGGAAAGGCTTCGCCAGAGGAGCAAAGGCTGCAGCGGTATCGGCGGTGCCGCGAAACATGCCTGTCAGCCACCCTTTCAGCTCTCAGGACATCCCGTGCTGCTCGCACATGATGCACCACACCCTTGGCAGAATTGGCAAGGCCCGGGCGTTCACAAACGGGCAACTGCTTCCCACCGATTGCTATCCTAGAAGTGGCTCCAGGAAAATCAGCATGGAACAGTCAGCGGGGAAAGCGGCAAGAAGCACAAATGCCAAAAAACATGCCACTTACCCAACAATACAATAGCCTCGTGCCAGGGTTAGAAGGTTGCTGCAGTCAGGGCGCGTAAAGACGTGGTCCACGTCTAGCTCCTCCTTGCCCTGGTGCTGCACTGCGAGCTGCCACTCACGCCACAGCCATTGCTCGTCGACCTCATGTCAAGGGGTCTGGGGGGGCGTCGGGCTGAGGACTGGACCCTGAGCATACCCCGGCACTTGGGCTCGGGATTCAATTGTTCGGATACAAGTGGCGAAGTGGCTAAGCGGCTATTTCGCTGGGTGGCGGAGTGAGCGAATGCATGAAAGAAACAAGCCAGTGTCAGCACCAAACCGGAAGATTCTGGTGGTGTTGACGCTTCGAGCTGCGCTTCGCATTCAGTTCGAAGGTATGTGCTTCGCAATTGCGCGCCTTTGCTGGGTTGACCTTAAAGGAATGCAAAACAAGGACGGGAGATATCAAATTTAGGAAAGGGTGTATCAGAAATTGCTGGGACTGAAGGGCATACGGCATATGTCAAACCTAAACTGTTGATCTCTGCTTCATAACCTGCCGTGCGGTGCGACGGTGTCCTTGGTTTCTATACGAGGGTATCCTAGTGTCAATGCTGGAAAAACATAAGTGTCCGAACTTGTTTCCAATTAGGGTCCATCCGGACACTTAGTCTTGCAATGCCCCGTGACAGCTGAGCTTTCCGATTGCAGGCCTGGAGTTCTTCACAGGCGGAGGGATGTTCGGAGGCCGTGTTTGCTGCAATGCGTATCACCCTAAAACCCGCCGGTGCATCAAGTGATGGATGTCTCCACTGAAGTGCTGGCATTCCTGAGCAATGTCCATCTGGTTTTCTATTGAACGCACCAGCGTGCAAAGTCAAAGGATGAAGAGTCCGAACCTGGGCTTTCAGCACAGGTTAGCACTAGAACGCGCTAGAACTTGATGGAGCTCGTCATGGGGAGCAATCGCCACTTGGAGTCGGAGATTGCTGGGACCACTGGAGCATACACCAAACCCAAAACCGTAGATACCTGCCCCATTACCTGTTGTGCGTCTCAGCCACTTAGCCCCTTAGCCACTGAGCCACCAAGCCACTTAGACACTTAGACACTTAACCACTTAGCCATTTGGTCACTTGGCCACAAACATGTATGTATTTGTATTTATGTGCATGTGCATTTGCGTACATATGTGATATATGTAAACAGTCATACCTCATCCACATCTGCAAGAGGAGTTGTCAAAGCGTTTACCCCGCTTTACAAAAGATGTGCCCATAGGTCTTGCCCATGATTCAGCACGTGTAGGTCTGTCTGATCATATGCACATGCACGTATATGTATGTATGTACATGAGTTAACGTATATGCGCAAAAGCATGCATATACACATGAATATGTATGGAATGCGCCCCGGCAACGTGCCTGTCTCGTTCTCAAGTTTTTCCTGATCCTGAGGCTGCAACCCCCAGCCGGTCCATCGTCGTCTGCGTCGCAGGCATGCTGCGGAACGTTCGCCAGTCCATGGAGCCGCAATCTGGGCACGAAACGCCATCATTGCATGGGGCTCTCGTCCATTGCTTTGGAGCGTGGCCTTCCGCACTGTTCTCCTCATAGTAGTCCCACAGGAAGGATCCATACTTCACTCCCTGCAGGGCGATGCCCCCACGCTGCCCCAACTGCCGCTCACAAAGCATCAACAACGAGCTCCTGCTCTGACTGCGGCGACTGCGGGACGGCAGTGCTCCCAAAAGATGTCCGTTGCCGCTTGGAAGAACTTGCAGCCTTGGCATTGTTTGTGCTGGGTTCGGCGGGCTGGGTCGGGAGTTGGTCTAGAGTGGGCCGATGGTGGGTTGCAAGTGAGGTTAGGTAGGGTTGGTTCAGTCTAGCGTGGGTTTAGGCTTAATTTGAGTGGCTTTAGGCTTTACCTTGGGTTGGGGTTTGGGGCTTGGGCTGGATTTCAGGTAAGATAGGTTTGCGTGGTCTGGGTTGGGTCCGGAGTTGGTGGTTTCAGGTGGGTTCATCGATGGTTTGTGGTAGGTTTAGGGTATGTCTTGGGTTGGCTTGTGTTTCGTTTAGGGGGTGTTGTAAGGTAGGATTCAAGTGTGTTTTGGGATGAGTTTCGGATCGGTTGAGGGTTGGTTTAGGGTGTGCCTACGCTGAACTTGGGTGGGTGTAACGTGGGTTTGGGGATGGTTTAAGGCTGGTTTGAACTGGATTTAGGGTATGCTTTGGATGGTTTGGGGTTGGCTTGAGGTAGGCTTCGGTGGGTTGAGGGTTCGCTTGGGGGTTGTTTAGCATTGTTGTTTCTTGGCGAACTCACGCTAAACATTAGCTTGCAAAACCATCCCCAAACCAACCCGAATCCTACCCTACATCCAGCCAACCCCCCTAGACCGCCCTAAGCCCACCCTAACCCAAACCAACGCAAATTAGATATAGATTCGAGGGTTACCGGTTTGGGGCCCAAAAGGAAACAACAAACCGTCCAAGTGCGCTGCTCTCACATTTCACGCTTGAACAGCCACACTGCGGATGCAATTGATGTTAAACCCCCAAACTGACCGATTGAATTCTTCACCCCCCTCTGCGTGTTAAAGGGGCGGTTCACAAAGCAGCCAAGCAGAAAAACAACAGAAGAACGGTCGGGGTTTCATCTGTACATGCAAATCCGTGACGGATGCGTTTTCAACGCCACCGCCAGGTCGACTGTCGTCCACTGCCGCTACTGCCACCCCGTTGGCTCCATCCACTGCTGCACCAGTCTTCCCACTCCGAGCTGCCCCACTGCTCGCCCTCGCGGGCGGCGGGAGCTGCATAGGATGCATAGCGGGCGGCGTTGCGAGCAAGGTGTTTGTCGCTCTCGCTGCGTGAGAACCCCACAGAGTTCCATGCGGCTCGCTGATTCTGCCGGAAGATCCAGCCCAACTCTTGGCGAAGCCCATCCTCGTCCCTGCCACTCAGGTGCATCACCCCGTTCCAGCAGCCAATGCTGCGAGGCTTGTCCTGCTCCAGAATGATGTGAACGAAGGCGCGGGGTGAATATGGCATTCCCTGGAACATAATTATCCAACGCGACGTCAGTGCATCTTTCAGCTGCGGGACCATGAGCTCGAGCAGACGTCGATCCGAGACCGACGCCAAGCGTACGCTGGGCTTGCGATTGCTTCAGCTGCAAGAACCAAATTGGCAGACAGTTTTATGCGGAGCATGTCCGCCTCCCGGCGCCCCACTTCGATCATCCTGACGCGGTACTGGAGGTCCAACTCGTACCGATCCATGAGCGAGTGGTAGCCGTTCTTCAGGGCGGATTTCAATTTCTTCCTGCCCTCCTGAATCACGGCGCTGTCCGGGGAGTTCAGGCCTCTGACAATGCTGATACGATCCTCCTCGCGGAGGTCGGATGTTGCCACTGACGCCAGGACCTGTGCCGTGATGCGCGTGCTCAGGCCCATCTTTTTCAGGAGATTGGAGCGCTGCTTGATGTAATTGCGCTCCTGGTCCTTCAAAATTGAGGGGAGAAAGTTGTCCGCACGTTGTGCCAGGACACTTGGCGACCTTCATTTCCACGTTCTCCATGGGGTTGAAAGTCTTCTGCCTCTTCGCCTCCCCTTGCGGGGCGCGAGGTGATGAGGCATTCGTCCTGGTTGTTGCAATGCGCTCCAATGCCATGGTGCGGTCGTCGACAACCGCCTGCTCTCGCTTCATGCAGTGGGTTTCATCGTCGGCTGATGTTGCTGGTGCACCTGCATCCGATTGCTCGGAGCGCGTGTGCCAGATGTCCCCGTTTGTAGCATTCAGGATCGCAAGAATGGTGTAGTTGGGGACCGTGTCCCGCGTGAGCACCCCTTCCATTTATCGCTAAGATGCACAGTTAGGGCATTGATGTTTGCTACACGAGTGCCAGCATCAACATTACCGTATCGAATTTCATCTAATTTGGGGTCAATGCAAGCAACAATGCCATCAGGTACGTCAAGGGAGGCTTTGCCAGCCTTTTGAGCATACTCATGTGCTTCCTTTCCAAACAGGCTGAGCTGACAGAAAAGCGACAGGGTTGGGAGCCTGAGTGCCTGATTCGCAGCTATGACCTCGGCTTCAGTGGAGCTGGTAGCGGTCGCTGTCTGCTTCCTACTGAAAGCATTCAGTGGATAGTACGTGAAGTATCATGGTGCAACCAGTGGTACTGCGCGAGTCGCATTCGCCTGCCCAATCCGCGTCAGCGAACAACCACAACCTACAATCAGAGAACTTATCCCCGATAAAACCCCGCATTTTAAGATCCTTCGCACAGTGTATATGTGACACAAGTCGATGAAGAGCGCTGTCGCACTCAGTGGACCATTTGCTGCCGCGCGAGGCAAGGCTTTGTGTGGCTCTCAGCAGGTCATACCTAGCCATGCGGGCTGCGAATAGAATCTTCATGAGTACCTTAGCAGCTATGGTTTGTAGCCTACCCTTTGGCTCCTCTTCACTTACGACAGGTCTCGCGACCTTCGAACCAATGAATGGAGTACTAACCTTACTCAACGACGAGACGTTTACCTTGGCAAGTTCACAATATGCGTCTACGCACGATTTGAGAAAATCAGACATGTCATATTCAACAATGTTGACCTCTTTAGTCATACAACCGACAGGTTATCGCATATAGTTTCAAGTCCTTTGAACTTAGAAACTTTGACTTCTTTCTTAGCCGCGGTCTTGTCTCTCATTGATCCAGGCTTTGAGGGCAAAGCACACTGCAGAGCTGAGCTCTGGTTTTCGCCATAGGAAAACACAGTACGTCCGGTCCACCACGCGGTGTCCGCAGAGATGCGATCACTCGCGTGATGCGACCACTCATCGCAAATTGGGCTTGTTTTGGATTCATTTTTGATTGTCACACGCTGAGGATCAAGGCTGCACGCGAATGCACTCATCTGCTCCTTAGGACGGAAAAGGCTTTTCCTGGGCTGCAAGTGATACCGTGTCCACGTTTTGTTGTCTGCGTCATGCTCCCAGGTCCTCCTCTGAGAGCAAACACCCGCGTGTTGCGTGGCACCCTCGAACACGTGGCTGAAAGGGTGTTCCTCCTTTGACAATCTAACTTTATTCTTTTCAATGTGATGAGACCCAGAGTATCGGCCGAATGGCTCGGGCGCGTCGATCTCGACAACCTTCCCAATCAAATCCCATCCCTTGTCGAGGCTACCGGCGGGTCCTGCAAGAACATACACAACAAGCAGAAGGTCAAGTTCCGGATCACGGAAAATGGATGTCCATATCTCAGGCAACACTCTCACGCTTTCCAAGGGCATCTTCAAGGTGCTTTTCCCAAAGCCCCCCTGAATCGGGATGTCCGTAGCAGGCCAACACGAGTGGAACGATGGGGTCAATGTATTGCTTGCTCCAATGGCTAGGCCATCTGTTCTTTGGCAGTCTGAGCCAAGTGGGAACGCCTTTGAACAGAGCTTGAATGTAGGCTTGCTTCGCATCGGCTTGCGCCTTGCGGTAGCCGGGCTGCGACCCGAAAGCGTCGAGGATCTTAGCTGCCTCCATTGACGCTGGGCTGGACCCTAGCTCCGCAAATAATGCTGCAACAGAATTTTCGTCATACACGTTGTTCCCTTGGAAGACGGTCCTTCCTTTGAATTTCTTGATAGGATCATCATCGGGAAGCTCACTATCCTACCAATGTGGACCTTTTCCCCTTTGTTCTGGGCTTCTCTGATGACTCGTCTACATTCATCTACTCTGCCCTCATCCCAAGCGCCTTTCTTTCGAAGGTTTTCCCATTCCTTGTCAAGAGCAGCCTGGGCCTTTGGCGTGGTGGCTACTTCGGCCTTCGGTACTAGTCTGGCTACGACTGCACTGAACAATTCTAGAGCAACATCAAACTCAATCTTCTTGATTCGCTCTTTGACCAACTCACGCAATTGCGGGCGATGCTGCTCTTTTGTTGGCTTGTCACGTTCAGGAAGAACGGACATCGCCGGGGCAGGCCGAATCACAGGCAGCGTCGGCTCACCCTCGCTGGCAGCGATAGTTGGCTTTGCAGCATCGGGATGCTCGGACCTGGCCTCGGTCGACACGGTGGTCTCAAGCACGGCTTTCTTAGGCTCTTCGTACTGCTGGGTAAGGGCCTTTCGGTCCTGGTTACCGAGCATGACCCACATGTCGGACGAACTGTCGGGAGGCCTCTTGGATCCGGCCTTCCTACGGACAAGTCCCCATCCCACACGTAGCCATCGGGCACTGGCGACCCATCAGGCACTTTGCTTGGGTTAAATGCGCCACTCTTGTCAGGCATGACAGGCTTGATCTTCGCTTCGGATTGCTCCGATGCGGCGGGTTCCTCGATGTGGGCTTGCCCACGCTCCAGCGGCACAGGGTCACTTCGTGTTTTGGCATCGGCAACAGGTGTATGAGATGCAGGGTCTTTCAACAACCTCATCGGGAAGATGAACTCATCCGTTGGAAGCTCAATGCGCTTTGTCCGCTGTACCGTGAGGGACGCATGTTCGATATGATAATCGAGCCCTTCTAGCTTTGCTACAAGGAATTCACCTTTCCATGCGAACCCAGGCTGAATGTTGTAACCGAGAAACACGCCTTCATTTGATGTCGGCGAAGTCTTGCCTGCCTGATTGTCAGCTCGTGCCGGGTTGTTCCAGAACAGTACCTTTGCTCCGAACGGTATCTCAGCTTCATCAAAGGTCTTGTGAAACCTGAGGTACCATGGCGAATCGTTTCCATTCAATTGTGGCAGGATGTTGGTTGCAACTGCATTGTGCTGAATAGCA